ATATGTTACTCTCTCTACTACCATTACAATTTTTCTGTAACTCTAATACTATTTTAAAATAAAAGTTTAATGAAATAATGTTATAAAACTTGAAAAAATACCACAGCATAAAACAAAGTTTAAACTCACTGTCTAAGAAACCACACTTCCTCTATAGTCCTCTGTTGTTGTTATGTGCCGTGAAGTCAGACCCGACTCATAGCGACCCCTCCTCGGGTTTCCGAGGTAGCATCACTAAGGAAGTAGATTGCCCAACCTACCTTCCAAGGAGTGGCTGGTGGTTTTGAACCGCCAGCCTTCTGGCTAGCAGTCAAGTGCCTTAGGCACTATGCTACCAGAGCTCCTATAGTCCTTTTTAATTTTTAACCTTTTCCTATTCATTGTTTTCTGTTGACTGATTCCCCCATTCTTTGACTGGTTCAGGTTCAAGGAGTACCTTTTCCCATGGCTGGTGCGTTAGGCTGGGTTCTCCAGAGAAGCAACACCAGTAAAGCTTATATACACATCTAGAGAAAAAGAAATTTATCTTAGGAAAATGGCTTACACACTTAGAGAAGCTGACAAGTCCCAAGTTCTTGGATCAAGCATCAAGCTGGAGGCTGTTCCTGACACACACAGCTGCAGGGGCTGAGGAGCTCAAGGCTGGCAGGCAGTACACCGGCTGTTGACTCCAACGAATGACAAATCCAACATCTCCAGCCCGAATGGTGCATGGTTCACTCAAAGACAGCTGTAGGCAGCTTAACAGGATCCCAATCCACAGAAGAGTGTCTCTTTTTCCAGGATGTCCATAAATATATTGGAGGCAGGCCCCAACTCTAGGGAAACTCCCCTTCAACATATTGGCCACTCAAAACCTATACATCCAATCCCATCAATGGGAATAACCCACATCACACAGAATTGTGGTCCAGCCAAGTTGACACATAGCTCCAGCTATCACAGCTGGTAAACCCAACAGCAGCATCCTGAAGTTTCAGACTGCTGCCTCACTGAGCACATCTGGAGAACAAAATGGGTGAATTCTCCTGGTCTTAGAAAGGAAATGGCATTTTCTGAGTACCTTCTTGGTGTCAGTTCCACCTAAGCCCCATGTCTACCCACTCTGGAGCCCCCTCACCTATGTGCTTCCATTTAAGGACATGTTCACCAACACCAGGCTCTCCTGGTTCTTCTTCAATGACGTCTACCATCAGCTGGGGGGAGAGAGCAAGAAGGGCCCCAGTATCTCTAACTGGGTCAGAATGCCTGGGCAGTTCACATCCTGGAATAAGTATCATCAGCTATGAATTTAAGAGAAGGCATGAACACTCTTCCCAGTCAACCTGTAGTCCTCTTGACTGTCTTTCAAATGGTTAACTAAGAAGGTCAGATTACAAACTTACACTTGAGTATAAATTCAAGTACCTGTTGCTGCTGAGTCGATTCCAACTCATAGTGACCTTATAGGACTGAGCAGAACTGCCCCCTAGGGTTTCCAAGGCTATAACCTTTTTCTTTTTCCCCACCATTTAAAGGAATTTATTGAAATACCAATCCTGTGAGACATTTTTATCTCAAGTTGTTCAGTGGTAAGAAATGTAATAGAGCATTTAATTTTGCCTTTTACTAGACTTAATTTTTAACATGGATTTTTAATGACCAGAATTGTACCTAATAAAGCCAAGTTTGCAGGACTCCTGAGAAGACAGCCAGCTCTATTGCCTTCACCAGTGTCTAGATCACAGTGAATTTGGGAAGGTCATCAGCAGATAAGTACCTCATCCTCTGCAGCTGAAGGCTTTCTGTTGTAAGGGTTTTGGAAAGCTGGCTTCCCATGGAGGAAAGTGCGAAATCCAGCTGAGGTAGGTGTGAGTCAGAGGGATAAAAATCAGCTGGTCTTTGCTTTCCACCAACGCTATAATCTTTATGGAAGCCAACTGCCACATCCTCTTCCCATGGAGCAGCTGGTGGGTTCGAACCACCAATCTTTCAGTTAGCAGCTGTGTAACCAAGTGTGACCAAAAAAGAGTGCCACCAGGGCTCCTTACAATCACATGTATATACATATAAAAACAAGAGAGAATGGGAAGAGGAAGAGGGAAAAATAAACAAACCCACCCATTCAAATTGCCCAGGAAGAAAAACAGGCCAAATCTCTAATCACTAGGGATCATAAATCTAGCTGCAGAATATCAGAACAAGACTATTATCTCATTTCCTTATTTTCTATGAGGAAATGTGTAACTAAAATCGACGGTATCGGATATACCCAGTGTGGCTGGCATATAACTTAAGTTCTCAGTTTACAGATACTTTGGTAGGACCTTGCTTTGAGAGGCCTATATTAGAGGCAAGTAGACAGAAAGCTTGCTCAGAGCCCTACAGCTTAATTCCTTGAGCCAGAAGTAGTGGTTGCAAACATCCCTTCAGGATTTTTATGAGTCGTGGAGGGAGTATCCAAACTCGGCTTCTGTTGGAGCTGACCTGCTCTCTGGCTCCATGCTATCCATGGCTGTTTGCCGTGCTCAACTGTATTCAGACTGCTTTAAGGACTCCCGCCTCCTAATTTTTCTTTCCAAGAGGCTGGGCTCTTGACTTCTTTTTTTGATTAGATACAACTGCAAACAGTTGAGCTCTCCTCACACCATTCCATCCATACAAGTCTTCCAGCTTGTGTGTGACTCATGGGGAAGACCACTGACAGCTGCTTCTGCGTCTGGGCCTCAACTATCTCAGACTCTTAACAGCAATGACTAGGGTCCCAGTTGTGTCTCTTGGGGCAACAGGTGATCACTCCTCTTCCACATACGGTATCTGAAGCCTGGACAAGTTCCTCCTGTGCAGGTGAGAATTCCAGTGTCCTTCCAGGGGGGTTGGCTCATTTATCCCTATTCCTCAGCCTAGGTGTCCAAAACGGAACAACAGGGCTCTGGTGGCTTTCCCGGACACTACGCTACCACTGCCCGAAAGGTCAGGAGTTCAAACCTACCAACCTCTCCACAAGAGAAAGATGTGGCAGTCTGCTTTTGACTGACAGCCTTAGAAACCCTGTGGGGCAGTTCCACCCTGTCCTTTAAGATCACAATGAGCCAGAATTGACTTGATGGCAGTTTTTGGGGGTTTTTTTTGGGTTATGCTACATGTGGTGTCGTCAATTACTTGGTATGGCTTTTCTAGCCCTAATCTTTGTAACTGTTACAGGATTACTGGGTGGGGACCATGCACATAAGGTGCGGAGAACTCTGATGTTGGGATTGGTTAGTTTTGTCACTCTGCCAGGCTTAAAATGATCCCTCCTAGAGGCAGAAAGGGAGCTCTGGTGGCGTAGTGCCTATTGTATTTGACTGCTAACCAGAAGGCTGGCAGTTCACATCCACCAGCCACTCCTCGGGAGCAAGATTGGGGAATCTACCTCTGTAGAGATATTGCCTCAGAAACCCAAGGAGGGGTCGCTGTGAGTTGAACTGAGTTTGTTTTTGGTTTTAGAAGCAGAGAGGGGATCTCACTGCCATCAAGACAGAAGAGCTGGAGGTGAAGTGGAGCACAGCCTTGGACCTGAGATCCCTGCACTGGGCCTCCTTGGCAGAGAAACCTGATAGAGAAATCAACAGGCATGAGACAGAGCAGCAGGCTTTCCAGCCCACAGAGAGAGAAAGCTGAGTGCCTATGGGCAGGAGGCTTGCTGGTGGAGTGGGGTACATATAGGTGTACCTGTAGGCAGAGCTAAAAGAACCTGCAAACACCTGCTAGAGTAGGACAGAGGCCAGGCCAAAGGCCAGAGAGGCACCTGAGGGCACAGAGAAGGGAGATGTCCTGATGGAAGGAACTGCATCCTGAGCGCGTTCCTGAACCTGACTTGTAGCCTGTCACTGCCCTGATAAACCTCACAATCATGAGTATTGTCTGTGAGTTCTATGGCCACTGTAATGAATTATCGAACCCAGCAGAGAAGCAGTGAATGCCATGGGAGGGACGGCTGGTGTCAGAGCTGGTAAAAGGCTGGAGGGTGGCGGCATGTCTGGCCTCATAGGCATCAGCCTTGGACTGCTGATGGGGATTGTGTCTTCCTCTTGTGAAGTTAGAGGTCAGAAGGTGCCGCCTCCCAGGCTTTTTTCACTACAACATCCTAACGCTCTTATTTCATGGCCCCATTTCTGGCTATAAGGTTAACTTATTTGCATTTTCTTCTCCAAAGGTATGGCTAAATCATTTCAGTCTATTTAGGTTAGATGAAATTTTGGGTATTCTCCATTTTGGTCATCTGCAAATCTGATAAACAAGCTTGGTTTATTTTCATCTAAACTGAAAATTCTGTAGAATGAGACAGGGCTAAGAACAGAGACCTGTGGCGTTAACTCTAACGCTGCCTCCCAGGTGGAGGGTAGTTCATAACTCACAATCTTTTTGGCCACACTTGGTTCAATCAGCCATAAATCCATGTTTAATCCAAGCATTCAACCCTGTCAACGTCCTGGTGAACTCAACATACCCACTCCACACATCCCTGATGTATAAGCCTTCTCGCAGGCAAAATGAGGTCCAGGCCAACCTGGGCTGAGGGGGCCAGAGGAGCACACCACTCACCGTCTGAGTTTTCACTGTGGCTCTACATTTCATCACTTACTGTAACCAAATAAAACGGAAATAAAGATGCCCACTATTCTGAACCACTGAGCTCAGATTACTTTGCTAGACCCGGATCAAATTCCCCTTCAGGAGGACCAGGAATTTCTTGCTACCTTAAATCAAGTGACCATGTGAAAGGACTTGACTTGATAAGGCAGCTGGGAAACGTGCCTGTAAAGAACAGAGAACAAGCTGTGACCTGCCTTTATTATGCAAGTTTGTGTGGCTGAAAACAGTCCACCGACAACTGATTTTGTTTCTGCACTGTGAGGCATCACAGACGTGAGAGCCGATGGGAAGGAAAACAGGGTGCACTAATTTAAGGCAATAATTCCTCTTGAAGCAGACAAGGCACTACAGTAACATGCTTCAATAGTGAAAGTTAACAAAGCCAAGGATGGTTTCTTGTTTAATTCTTTTCTGATGCTAGAGACATAATTCAGCTTTCACCTTCATCACACTTTCATACGGTTTCAACAGGGGAAATACCTCCTCTTCTAGGAATCTCTGCACCTGCCAGATAGGAAACCAAATGTAAGGCAAAGAAAAAGCTGAGCTCCAAGTTGGCAGCACCTTTGCCCGGGTCAGTTTGTATCACTGAGCCCGAACGTGAAGCTTTCACTGTACCCGACGTACTGTTCTCCTCACCAGCCTGTCCACTCCCCCTACACAGAGGCAACTCAACCACCAAGCACTCAGCCACCACACCCAGACTACACTCTCTCACAGCCCAGCTCAGCCTGTGCTCCCAGGTGGTGGCACCATTCTCCACCCAGTCCCCCAAGTGAAAACCGTCACTGCGTCTTCCCTCTTGCTGTCCAGCCCATTCACCCGACCACCAAGTGATGAACCTCCTACACATTCTTCACATCTCCCGTTTCCTACCTGCCTCTGCCTTCAGCTGCTGTGGGCCTACTAAAGCAGGTTCTTCCTGGCCTCCCTGCTTCCAGTGTTCAGTCTTTCAAATTTGCCATTTATGTGATGATGACACAGTGATTGGAAGGTGAATGACCATCCACAACGGGCTCCTGTCTCTCTTCAGCTTCAAATTCTGTTATGACTCCTGAGGCACTTTATACTCAGCCAACACCCAATGCCCTGCCCTTTTCTCTCATGCTCAGGGCTGAGCCTGCTGTCCATCCTCTCTCAGCCTGGCCTTCCCGCTATAGCTCTGACTCGTCCCTTAAGATTCAGCTCAGACTTCATCTCTTCCAAGAAGTCTTTCATAACTTCTCCACTCCTCTAAAGGGTTACGTCTCCTCCTTTGTGATCCCCAAATAGGCTATGTTTCCCTCAATTCCTGCAATGTACTGCTTGTTATTACAAAAACCTGTTTACAAGTCTTCACCACTAAGTTTTAAGCTCCTGGAAGACATGGGTTATCTACTTACCTTTTATCTCTGGAAATTACACCGAGTACCTGGGCACACACAGAGCACCTAGTATGTAACTGATAAATGTCTTGAGAGAGCCCTGGTGGTACAACAGTTAAGTGCTTGGCTGCTATCTGAAAGGTCAGCAGTTCAAACCCATGAGCCACTATGTGGGAGAAAGATGGGGTGATCAGCTTCCACAAAGGTTACAGCCTTGGAAACTGTAGGGGGCAGTTCCACTCTGTCCTACATGCTGTAAATCAGAAGGGACTCAGTAGTACACAACAGCAGCTTTCAGAATACCCTCCTCTCTCTCCAAAAGGCCAAGCAGAAGAATGCTGTTTGCTGAGAACCAATATGCGCCAGGCACTCATACACCCACTATGTGAGGCCTTTTATTCAATTCTCACAAAAACTCCATGGGACTAGTATTTTTATCCTGTCAGCCAGTAAATGTCAGACATTAGGACTGAACCTAGATCACCAGGCAGTCAAAGCTAATCTGTGTCCAGTTCACCAGAGAGCTTCTCTCTCGACCAAAAGAGAATTCAGAGAAATCCACGTAGGGAAAACGTGAGGCAAAGAGCCCCTGGTCCCGTTTTTACCAGCACCCTGATCTGAAGCGGTTCTGGTTCCACCCCCAAGCCCCCCCCATGAAGCAGAAACCTCAGGAGTCCAGGCCCTGCAGCCAGCAGTGGGGACACACGCAAGCACGAGGGTGGGCTTCAGCACTGTGAACATGCCCTGACTGATGCTCACCTGCTGGGATGCGCGACCAATGAAAGAAGAAGGATCCAGTAAACGGTCCAACTGGGAGTGAATGGGACTGAAGTAGGCATCAGCCTGGATCCGCTCGATGAGATCATTGTCGCCCCCTTCCTGCTTGACCACAGCAGCTGCCTGCTGGGAAAGCACTCTGATTTTCTCATGGCAGTCCTGGGACAGGAAAGGGAAGCAGTGAGAGGACACTCCCAAGGAGGCATCTGCCCGTTCCTGAAAAGTCGTCTGCCCCTCCATGCCTACGCTGTCTACACGGGTGGCACTCAAAGCCCCTCTGGGCTCAGGTGGTCCCTGCCACTGACTGCACTTGGCTCTTCACTCTGACCCCATCAGAGGCTGGATCTGAAATGGGTGCCCCTACCCTGGCTACACGTACTAAGTAAGCCACAGAGACTATCTGCTTTATGTCCTGCTCCCTTCCCGTGGAAATGCACAACCCATCCCCTCACTAAGAGTGCGTCCTTCCAAATGATTCAGCAATTCACTGTTAGTTACCAAGTTCACCACAATCCCCCTTCAGAGAGTAGCCTGTGCTATAGCAGAACATAGTCACTGTTCTGTACCAATACCGTGACAGAAGGTAAAGACCAAAATGCCTTCCTCCGTCCACTCCTCTTCAGGCAGGAGACAGCAGAGCTAAGACACACTCTCAACTTATCCAGGAGCACGAGCGGCTACGAACCTGGCGGCTAGCCCCAGCTTTCACCATGGCCATGATGATGTTCTCTGTGGCCATGAAAGGCAGCTCTTGCCGAATGTGCCGCTCAATTACCTAGAAGAGCAGAATGAGTGGGGGCCTAAGATACACGCCTCCAGTTCAATGTCATATACACAACAGGGTGATAACTACGCCAAAATGCACGGAGAGAGAGAATGACGGGTTATTTTAGTCTACGTCATATTTTTTGGTTTTCTTATTCATCCAGGGTATTATTTTGATTAAAGAGAAAAAAAGAAACACTGACACTGAGTTGAGTATACTTTTACAACTTGCTTCATAGGAACAATTCCTAAACCTGAAGTTAAATCTCAGTGCCCAACCTCAAGGGTTCCCTGCATGACGGGAATGAACCCGTTCAGCACAGGTACTTAACCAGGCAAATGGAGCTCGCTATGGGCCGAGTCACCACAGCTGATGACTCAAGTTCATAGGTGGTTTAGGCCAGGGTAAACGACCCTTTCCCTCTTTCCTATAAATGTGTCTGAATTCCACATAGTTAGTTCTCTAATCCTCTTGAGGAATGAGCACTAGCTGGGAATAAATCTAATTACTTCACCAGAGTGCATGGCCCTCCCCACCCCCCGCAGGTACCGGCCACACTCCTTCCCATGTCCAACCCCTCTCTCATCCTTTGCTTTAATTGAGGCCTCTTTCTTTGGGAGGAGCTCTGGTAGCATAGTGCCTAAGGCACTTGACTGCTAACCAGAAGGCTGGAGGTTCAAACCCATCAGCCACTCCTTGGAAGGAAGATGGGGCAATCTACGTCTGTAGTGATGCTGCCCTGGAAACCCAGGGAGGGGTCGCTATGAGTCGGATCCAACTCGACGGCACGTAACAACAACTTACTTTGGGGTACACCACCAATCCTTCTGAAATGTTCTGCAGCGTATTCAATATAGTATCTGCAGTAAGAAATGCCTCAGCCAAACAGATGCGTCTGAAAAACAAATAGCCAGTTTAGATACCTCTTTAAACAAAAATTTCGATGAAAGGTAGGGTGTGCCCTAAGTCCTCTTGACTTCATGCCGTATGTACTCCTTGGACAATTTCTTTCAATCTTAGGACTCAAATACCCCTATATCCTGATGACCCTCAAATCTTATCACCTCCGGCCCAGAGCACTTGCCCAAGTGTCAGCTCTTACACCCAACTACAGCACTCTACCTGGCTGACACACAGGAATCTCAAACCCAAACAGGATTCTCACCATCTCAATCCCGGTCCTCCTCTTCCTGTGGCTCCTGTCTCAGTCAATGGCACTAGCATCCCCCAGTCACCTAGCTCCTTGTACTCACTCCAATTGATCACCCTGGCTGGCCAACCTGCCTTTTACTTCATAGCCACCTACTTCCTCACCAAATTACTTCTGACCCACTTTGTAACTCATCAAGATCATCCCTATGCCAAGATATCTCAGTTGACACCCTCCCACCCTTGGAATGAACTACACTCCTTCCCACAGCCCACAGAGCCTTTCATAAGCTGGCTCCTATCCACAATCATCTCCCGCCTCATCTCTTGCCATATACTGGCTTCATTCTCCAGCACTAATTAGTAATTAACTTCTTAAACTATGTTCTCTCCTGCCTTTACACATGCTCCCGATCCGTCATTTCTTCAGTCTCAAAGCATCACCTTCTCTGGGACGCTTCCCCGTTCCCTGTAACACTACTCCTCCCTCTCTGCTCCCATTGTACCTTTTACACTTTGATCACAGCTCTTATCACTGTACTGTCTTCTTACATGCTTCTTGCCCCTTGGGGACAAGGAGGGAAGGCAGAGATCCTCAAATACATCCTTCGACTTCCAGGCTCCTCCTCCTCCTAGCCTCCCTCAACTTGCCCTGTTCTGCTAACCGATTGGCACTGTCGTCCAGCGTACGTTCAAACCACTGCACAGATGCTGTCTGCAGTGGGTCCATGAGGAGGGTCATCAGGTGACGGGCGAGGCTGCAGCAACGCTCTGAGCGCATGGGGTTCCGTTTGTATGGCATCGCACTTGAGCCTGCCCGTGGGAAGGACAAGCAACAAGGCAGACAGACGTCACTGGACGGTGCACACGCAGCCAGGTGAGCTGTAACATATCCCAGCACCTCTGGGGTGCTCCCAGGTTTCCACCTGACACTCACCGATTTGCTGTTTTTCAAAGGGTTCCTCCAGCTCCTTGAGATTGGCCAGGAGGCGTATGTCGGTGCAAATCTGGGGAAGGCAGGGGAACAGACATCATCCTAGACACAGCACACAGGCACCTGGGAGCAGGGAGGCTGATAAAGGAGATGGGCTCAGGTGTGGTGCCGCTGAGTTCAGCAAGTCCTCCCCAAGAACTCCTGAAAGATTCTCTTGGACCTCTCTCTCTGCTCCCAGAAAGCTGGGGTGACATATTCAAGGGGCCTGATAACAGTCTATGAAACACTACTGAAGACAACGATGAGACGAACTTCATACACCTCGGAACAAGGCGGACATTTAGTATGCTTTAACATAATGTTAATGAGAATGCCAAGATGAGTCTTTCCTTTAAAACCCATTCATTTAAGATAGACTCCGCCTATAGGCTCAAACCAAACCAAACCAAACTCACTGCCGTTGAGTTGACTCCGACGCATAGCAACCCCCACTGGATTTTCAAAGCTTTACAGAAGTAGATTGTCCCATCTTCCTTCCACAGAGCTGCTGGTGGGTTTCAACCACCAACATTCTGGTTAACAGTCAAATGCTTACGCACTATGTCACCAGAACTACACACTGCTAAAAACTGATGTGTGACATCTGAGAAACAAATTATGTAAAAGTCTGAGGTTACGGTAAGATGGAGGAATAGGCAGACAAGTGACACAGACCCTCTTCAACAAAGAAAAGAAAAACCAATTGACAGAGATACAGAAGATAATCCTGGAACCCTGAGCTTTGAAAGGAACTATAGGGAAGTAGATTAGGCACCAACTAGTGGAAAAACCTGAACAAGAACAGTGAGTACAGAGACGGTCGGAGCTGCGGACTGTCAACTTCTCTGAGACCAACAGCCTGAATATTTCCAAGTGGTGTTGGAACCTGAGAATTGACCTAAAGATCCTGGTCACGAAGGGCTCCAGGGACAACTACTCTGGTGCCCTATGACAAGGAAGGGAAACAGCAAGGAGGGAGACAACCTGAGCTGTGGCCTTTCTGCTGTTGGGAGGGTGCAGCCATTCTGGATATTTAAAATGACCAAGGGTGCAGCCATTTTGAATGTTTACAAGCAGTGGGCATTTTGGATATATAAAGTGACTGAAGGCACAACCATTTTGAATATTTACAAGTGGCAACCATTTTGGATTTTAAAGTTATAGCATTCTTCACGATCATTAGCTATTAGAGAGATGCAAATCAAAACAACAATGAGATACCATCTTGCTCCAGCACTAGTAGCAAAGTTCAACAAGACAGAAA